CCAGAGGTCCCATCCCGATGCACCAGTATACTTCTTTAATTTCCTTGAGGCTCTTGTAGTGAAGAAAGAGGAAGTGTAAAGGACTTTTGGATATTGAAAGGCAAAAAAAATATTTGTTTCTTTAATTTTGGAGAAAAATTACTATAAAAGGAAATTTTTAAAAAAAATTTGTATATGGGAAAGAGTTTTTTGATTAATTCTATTTATTAATTTAATTATAAATAACAACAATATAATATATAATAAAATTATACTAAAGCTAAATTATTTTATTTACAAAATATCTATTAATAAATTATTTATAAATTTGTATATAACTCTTAAATTCTTAATAGTATAACTATTATATTACTTATATAATTTAGCTATTTATTAGGCTATTATTTCAATATAAACTAGTAATTCTAATAACAACTGAAAAAATATTTTAATAAATAAAAGTTTTTCAAAATTAACTTTAGTCTATTAAAATAAATTCTTTATTATTATTTACAGCTAAGTAAATCATTTAATTTTCATTATTTTATTGCTAATAAAAAATATTTAAGATATAGTGTGTTAAAAAAAAAATTGAAATTATATTTATATTTATAAGTTTATAAATAATAATTTAAATTAAATATATAACTCTTTTCACGAATCTTTTGATCAACACTCCAAAATGGCATTTAGACTAAAGTATATCTTTACTCTTAACAAAATTCATACACTCTTCTTAATACAACTTGATAGACTTTGATAAGATATTTATATACCCTTCATTGTTTTATTTATCTCTTTAACAAAATAAAAACAAGAAGGCTCCTTAGTTTTTACTTATTCAAGCTCTGATAGTAAGAAAGAGTTCTCCAGAAAAGAAAACAGTTTATTTTGTTTCACCCTTTCTGTTCACTATTGTAATATCAGCATTTCTATTAGAAAGGATAATCTGAAAGATTTTTGAATATCTTGGTTTCCAAAACCTCCACAACATAAGTATAGCTGCCTTTCTAACATGTTTTTAAATTTTTTTAATTTTTCTGAGAAATTTTGTCTATCTCAGTTTGATACTGAATTTTTTATTACACCAGATCTGCTAAGTTTCCATTGGCTGAAAATCTGGATTAAATAACAATAAACAAGTAACAGATAAACAAATCAAGAACACATTCCTATCTATACTATTTCAATAATGTTATTGTTTCAAACAAGAAGAGCAAGGTAATAAGGTGTCCATTTTGATATGGTTGATTTTGGATGTATATTTTTCTTTATTTTTCCTCCTCTTTTCTTTTTTCTTTATTCTCCTCCATATATATAAATACAAACAAGATGAATAAAATGTTTTTTTTCATGAGGTTTTTTGATTCTAATTTATAGTTTGTGAAAAACTACAAATCATAAACCACTTAGCAAGATCTTTAACATGACTTTCTCTGCCAAAAGAGCTGCTAAGCTTGTTAGTGATATTCATTATCCTTATCTTTAGTAAAGGTATATAATTGGTAATATTTGTTAGAATAAAAAAACTTCCATCAAGACATAACCTAACTTTGAAAGAGTTGTGCCTTTTTAAATAAGCAACCTATACTTAAAATAAGGCATTATCTAAAGAACTGAATTGTCAACCTCACTATAAGTCTTAAGGTATTGATTAGATCTAGGTTCTATCTGCTTTTCAAGTTATAATCCTCCAGATAGCTATTAAAATAATGAAATATTTCAAGATGCTGGCAAGGACAACAGTATTAGGTTTCCATTTGTGTATAAAAGAATTGTATTTAAACTATAATAAAACTTAATTTCCTTGAGTATAAGAAATAAGTAATTGAAATCATGTCATCTAGTTAATACAATCACTTCAGAAAAGTAATAACAATTGAACCTAAGGCCTTGGACAATTGGAATAGGATTAATAAAATTAGGTATTAAAACTATTTCTCTTTATTATGATTTTAAAAGTTAATAAAGAAAAAGTCTTTTCTTCTCTCTTTTGAAAGGAACAGAGACACAGTACTCTGATGAATAATTCATTAGATGTTGAGAAATCTTAATAAAAAAGTTTACAAATTTGAAATCAAAAGATATAGAAAAGTTGATTTACAAATAATTTTTTTTAGAAATCAGTAGTGCTTAATAAAACTGATCAAGAAATACTATTGTTTTTGTTAATGATAAGCCTTGTGATAAAATATAGTTCTTAGTAATATTCGAATTATATTATAAATTTAAGTTAGTTAGCTTCTAGGTGTATCAAGTATCAATAAAAAAATAAATATATATTTATTATAATTTGAATAAAGGTATAAATCATCCATTTAAAAAAATTTTTTTTAATTAAATAAAATTTTAAAAATGATTTTTTCAAAATATAAGAAACAAGTTTACTTATAATTATTTTCATTAATTTATTATTATTATTTGTTAAAATAAATATTTAAAGTAAAAAAAAATTTTTTAAAAAATTTATAAATTTATAAATATAAAATATATACAGTATATATAATATAGTCAGAGAATAAGAATTTTAAATATCAATAAATTTTTATTTATTTGTTTTATTATAAAAAATATTATTTAAATTTTTAAAAAAATTTTTTTTTAATTTTCAAAACCTAAAACATATTTATATAAAAATATACCTTATTATTAATAATTTTAATATCATATTATATCATAAAATAATAAAAAAAACTATAATCAAATTATCTTCTATTACATAATTGATTAATATTATATTTTTATTTAATTAAAAATTAATATACAGTAAATAAGCTTATAAATAATTATATAAATTTTTTTATTTTTAAAAAAAATTAAACCTATATTATATTAACTATTAATAAAAATTAAATATATCTTAACAAAAAACAAATAAACATATATATTATTGTTATTATTAATCAATAACTATTATATTATTAAGAAGAAAAATAATTATAACAATAACTTAAGATAATTATTCTATTAATTAAATTAATAAAGTTATTTAAAATGACAATTTATTATTAAAATTATAATTTTTTTAATGTTTTTAATTTTTTTTTTATGTAATAGGCAATTATTTAATAAAGAAACTTTTAAATTACAAGATATCTAAAATATTTATCTTTTAAAACATTATGTCAAATCTTATAAACTCATCAATCCATATTTTTTTTGTTTTATATAATCCTTGTAATACTTACTAATTTCTTATCAAATTGATATATCAAATTCAAAATGCCATATTTCTAATACTATAATTATTAATTTTGAGTTCTTAACAAAAAAATGGTTCTTTTGAATTATAATGGTTTGAAAAGTGATGCTATTTGCAATTATATGGGTATTAAGAATGCTTAAGAATACAATACTATATTGTGAAAAAAACATATGTAATAGTTATAAATAATGATAAAGTATAATAAACTATGAAAGAAAATTGTCAGGTTAATGAAATTTCAAAAAATTTTAGTAACAATACCCTAGTGTCTATTTACTTTCTTTTTAAATATTAATCTTAATCATTATACAAACCTTTTTCTACAATAATGTAAGTCGAAGATTTGTATTATTAAATAATTAATTAGTATCATTTACAAGGATTAATTATTATATTCATTTGATATTTATCTGACATCTATTCTTAATAAAAATCAATTGGAAATGCATTTTATTATTATTTGTTTCTTGGAATTAATCGATAATGAATTTGATATTGTTTGGTTTTATTTATGCATAAAAGAATGATTGCTTGAGGTATGAAATAAATTGTGAATAAAATGCGGGAAAGGAGTGTGCCTATTCTGCATCTTCATTGTAGAGTCGATCTATTATCTTATATACTAACTCTATTTGTGGTCGGTCCGAAGGATTAAATGCACACATACTTTTAACAGTTTTACTCCATTCTGGATCTTTGGGATATTCTGTAACGTTTTCGAAACTTTCATTCCTTAAATGTTTAGAGAGATCCGTGATTTTTACATCCTTGTACGGTACCACCCCTGTTCCTTGTGCAATTTCCCAAAGAAGAAGACCCAGGCCGTATATATCACATGGCATCTTGCAAATATGCTTTTTACCTTCTATAAGTCTTTGTGGATCGTGCCATCTTTTCCAGTCACTATTTTCAGCGCCCAAGGGCTTCGGCATTACAGAAGTCTGAGATTCAATCAACGACTTACTCCACAAGAAATTACCGACTTTTGCCACTAACTCGGTTTCTTCTTGAAATAGAAAGACATTGCTACTTCTCAAATCTAGGTGTAATATATCATTCTATAAGAAGAGGGAATTATTCAAGATCAGTATATACACTAGAATGATAAAACAAGGTATTAAAAAAAAAAATTATAAGATCTTTACTTCATGTAGAAATTTCACGGCGCTGGTAATTTCCCATACCATTTTCATCTTTCTTTTCCAATCGAAAAGCGTCGAGTTGTTATTTTGTTTTAAATAATTAAAGAGGTCACCTTTGTTCGGCCATTCAAATATTAGGATTGGTTTACATTGGAGAAAAGAACACCCACGGAACGCAACAATGTTCTCGCATCTGTTAAGTTCGAAACGGTCGTAAAGGTGAATTGCCTTTTCCATGCATTCCAGATTGCGAACACTATTACAGTCTCTTAAAGTGTATCCAACCACATCCTCATGATTTAAGAAGTATTTGGTGATTCTAAAAAGATTAACCAAATCACTCTGTAAACGATACTCCTGATCAATAGATTCCAGATCAATGGTTCTAATTAGTTTACTTTTATACCAACGATTCATTTCATGATCTTCCCGACAACAGAGTTTGTCATATAGTTTTTTTGATTTTTCAAATTCCTCCAATACTTGTTTGACCATACTGGAACAATTTCTCTCGTCTGACACTTTTCTCATACAATTAACTAATTTTCCAAGATGTCCGTTGAAATCTTTAGCAGCCCAATAATTTCTGCAAGTTAATAGTACAAATAGATAAATGGTCACGCAATAGATCGAAATATAGTGATATTAGTACAAGATGACATACCTGTTGATGTCCCTATAATCTTCGGCAAGGTATTGTGCTTGTAACGCCCGTGCCTTGATATTTTTAAGAGCATCTTGCGTATTCATATCCACCACTAAATAAAATTTCTGAAGTTATACCAACAATATATGATCAAGAGGAGATGTTATCAAAGAGTTCAAAAGAAAAAAAAAATCCCACCAAAACGATAACGAACAACTAGCCTTAATAGGCGAATGTATATCGCGGCGTGACTCTCGGCGATGTCAATTAACATTTTTTTCTGATCAATATTGTCCCACTTTGGGTACAATTTGCCTAATGCATCCATGGATTCTCTCATTTTCTGCCCAATATTTTTTATTTCCTTAATTTTGAAATGTTTTCGCTCAGATTCTTCTACGCCCTCAATAAAATTACTGAGAACCCTATATACTTTATATATTTGATCCATCGTAGGTATTTCAACCATACTTTCAATTTTAGAATAAGGAGATGGAGGTGAAGTTAGAGGCGGAGGTGAGGGTAGAGGTGAAGGTGGGAGTAGAGATGAAGGAGGGGGTAGAGGTGAGGATAGAGATGAAGGTGAGGGTAGAGATGAAGGTGAGGATAAGGACGAATCTAAGGGTGGAGACAATGGTAATGATAGCGTTGGCGGTAGGGATTTCGTAGTATATTTGTCACGATGTTTTTCGCATATCCATAAAACCTCATCATCTTTGTGGACGCATCGAACCAGGTTGCCGTAATGATCAGGATTATTTTGAATATCAATGTACTCTTAAAAAAAAAGAGAGAAAGAGATAAGAAAAAAGTTCATAACATCGAGGCTTATCTATGAAAATTTATTTTCGTATACTTTTTAGGGCATGAAGACCTGATCCGTTTATCACCGATAAAGACCCGTCAATCGTGTCCAATGGCATGAACTCTGGTTCAGAATCAGGCAATTCGAAGACATTACGTTCTATAGTGTCCACGACGTCATTGAAATAATGTAAGAGATCACACCCATTCTTTATACCAAAGACGTCCGTGAACAGATTTACCAAATCTGGCGGGAAGAGAGTCATAAAACCTAGAAATTTTGATAAAGTCTGCAGGCTTTGAATTTTTTTTTAATGGTTAGTATTAAAATTTAAGTTTTTTAAGCATCCTCTAAAAAAATCTTTTACCAAAGTTTAATCCAAGGGCCTAAATTAAAATTTAATCGATTAGTGGTAAGCTTAAAACGATTTCTTTTTTACGAATGATAACTGCGTACCATATTTTTTGATGAAACCAGGAACCTTGACCAGCTTGTATGGTTCTTGTTTTGGCACGTGCCAATGGTCTTCATGCTCGCAAACAAAATATAACTTAAACGTTTGCGCACACCATGTCCTTTACAATAAATTACAGTATTACGTTTACCAAGAGTCACAATATTACTAATAAGTGCAAAAAAAAAAGACTTACTGAGGATTTTTCCAGTCCGTCCTTTCAGGAATGATCACGAATATTCTGGGAATCGGTTCATTTTTCAATTTAACCAACTATTGAAAATTCATTAATACAGTACATTAGTATTTTCCTATTTATCAATATACAACTGTGTCAGTTAAATTTACCCATTGTGGAATTTTCCTAGACAAATCTTGCACGGCGTTTACACAACGGTTAATTCCATCCAAAATTTTAACTTGATTGTTGATGAGTTTATCCTAGGAATTTCCATTACACAAATCTTCAATATGTTGTATGTATTTTATGTACAACTCATACATACCATATTTTCATCTCGCATGTCGTATGGTTCTGGGAGAAAAAAAAATTTTTTTTTTCAATGAAGCAAATTATAAACCTAAAATTTATTGTTTCTCGACATTTACAGTACCTTCTACGAAATTAAAATCTAAAAATAATGAGTTATCTCGATCAAAATTAATGCGCCCGGGTATATCACAACTTTTAGGGCGAATGGATCCGAAATCCTAAATTATATTCCTTTGTAAGTTTCTTCATGTACATGAACAAAGATGAGAATAGCAGTCATTTACTTACCTTCATGAATTGTGCTAATATCATGCGTGACGATATATTTTTGTCTATTAATCTTTTTATTGTTGTGTTAAGTTTAGAATTTTGAATTTCCGTAGAAGATGTTATGGTTTGTCGAATATCCTGATCTTTTCCATCCCAGTAGTGTACTCCAGTCTCTATAAACATCAATATCATGCCAAATGAAAACATATCCATGGCAAAATGGGCTTTAATTGATATATTTTCATCATGTGCTCGAAGAACTTCGGGACTCGAATAATTTGTAGGAACAATTTTAACGACATCGTAAACGGTGCAAGCATTGCCGAAATCAATTAGTTTCCAACACCCCTTGGAATATTTGGAGAAGAACATAATGTTTCCGGGAGATAGCTTTAGGTGAACTGTGTGTTAAAAAGTGAGAGATAGAGATGCGGCATGCTTAGTTTTCATGCGGAAATCATAATTTTGATGCGAACAATAAAATTTACCAATTTCTTTTGACTGCAACTCCAAAAGACCCGAGGCTATATCCTGCATAGAAGAAAGTGTGTAAACATAGCGTGGCCAAGATTGATGGTGGAAACATTGAGAAAAAAAATACCGTTATTATGGTACTTTTTAGGTCTCGTTCTAGTCGAATATGGTGACCAATATAATTTTCTAGGCTATAAAAAGCACATTCATATATGATATTATAGCTTTCGGGATAATAATTTAGGAATTTCACTATATGCTATAAAAATAAGAAACCTTTGTGTTATAAAACATCGGTAACGCTGCAACTCTACAATAACTTAAGGCTTAACCTTAGAATCCTCGAATTTTTTTAATACTTCTAGTTCTCTTAGGAATAATTCATAGGTTGAAAAATTTTTAATTATATAATCGGCATGTATACGGTCGTCAGCAAATGCAATAAATACATTTGATCTTTTTCCATGTCTTAAAATTCGAAGATTTTCGCCGTTCAAGTCTAAGGAGAAACATACTGAAGTTGAACTTTGACATTCCACGGTGAATCACATTAAAATTAGTAAAATACCTTTGACTTCATTTTCGCTCTCTAATGAACCGTGTATGGTAAATAATTGCGGTTGAAGTAATAACATAATCTAGAACGAAATCTTACAAGTGAAAGAATTTTTAGGAATTATAGATCCAGTTTTCCGACTAATGCCGGAACAATAGATTTGTATGGTACGCAAACTGGTATGACGACGTGCCACGATAACAATCCTAAAAAGGTTTTTCGAATGATATAGTTTCGATCATCCATTGTTATGATATTACCATTCTGTCAGTGATCCGGAACACATTAGTGGGCGTCACGAGCAAAGCTAAATTCAAAAAAGTCGTGATCGTCAATCTTATGTACAATGACCCCGTAAACAATGCACACAATGCGCCAACCTGTAACATTGGCAGTTGACTATGTAACCACGCATAAACTATACTATTTTGCCGAAACCTTTTGTGGCATAAATTAATTATATATTACATGCACTTTTCAAAGATATGCACTGGATCCAATAAAGTAATAAACTCAATTTTCCATTTCGTAAAATTCACATGAAAAAAAGTAATAAAATTCTTAGCGTACTTGATTGTTTGATAATTATATATATTATGACCGATTTCTCAACGACGAGACCAGATTTTCGCGCAATAAATTACAGATTTCACAAGTACAGTATCTCTACAAAAGGCGTGCGTTTGATTTGATCAATTTTCTAATTGCATCTCTTTATTTCTTGCCCATGACTACACTTTTATAAGCTTGAAACAATGTATCGCTAGAAATTGTAAAAAATTATGGTGTCACGTATCACGTGAATATTAAAATAATACCTTTTGATTTTATAGTGTTTAATTTAATATTTTATCATAAAAAATTTTACAATATCAAAAGCATTTATAAAATACAATTTACAAACTTGTTTAATGATTCTTTTTTTTTAAACACATAGTCAAACAACAAAGTACTAATAATCAGTTATTTATTTTTATATACTTAAAAAAATTTTTTTCTTGAATTTAACTCTTTTTTTATATTCAAATTATATTTATTTTTAATATTTAATATTTTGTTTTTCTATATAATTTATTTATATAAAAATAATAAAATTTTTGAAAATTATTTTCTTTATTAATTTATATTTTTTTGTAAAAACTTATATATACTCTGAAAATTAAATGTACTTTTTAATTATTTGTATTTTTAGATTTTCTATTTTTATTATCATAATACAATTGTTAATAATTTCTTATTTTTATTGCTTTTATAATATTAAAGAAGAATTTCAAATACTAAAGATTTGATTTTTGATTTTGTTATCATTATAAGAATTTATATATTTTTATTAAAAATTGTTTAAAAGATATTTGTAATTTTTTAAAGTTTAGATTAATCTAATTTGGATTTTGTTTTTAGATTATAAATTTCTATTTAAGAGATTTAAAAAATAATATAATTTTTTGTTTCTATATTAGATAATTTGTTTATTATTTTTTTATATTTAAAATCTTTAACTTTATTAATATCAATCTTTATTTAAATTATTTGAAAAAAATCATCTATCATATTTTTTTAATTGTAACTTTGTCATTTATTATTTAAGACTTTATATTTATTTGCAAAAATTAACTTTATTGTATTAAATCAAAATAGTATAAATTATATATGTGATGAAATTGAATTCAAATATTTTTCAAAAACTATATTATGTTAAAACTATTAAATAACATATAATAATTAATTAAAAATCATATTTAATTTGAAATCACATTATTGATTAAAATTTATTTTATGATAATAAAAAAACATACAGTATATTTTTATTGTAATAGATTTATTGAATCAAGAAAATTTATTTATTATAATAGATATTTATTATTGTATTTATTAAGAAAATATTAATTATTTAGTATAGTAAATTTAATTTATTATATTTTAAAATATATATTAAATTTATTTATATTTTTAATTAAAACAATAAACTTAATTTTATATATTATATATAATTTTTTTTAAAAATAATTATTAATTATAAAATATTAAAATAATTTATTGTATATATATCATATTTAATAATTCTTAATCATATCCAAATTCAATTAGATTATATAAAAATAAGGCTTCTGATCTTTCTAATAATTATAAATTGAAAACAGGTCAAAGTATAAAAAATTATATAAAAAGCTTTTAATCTAATTTTATCAATAAGTTCACAAAATTTCAATTCAAACTGGCAATAGCAAACTTTATCATATAATTTAAAAAAGATTAATCCTAAGCTAATTTATTCAATTCGAAGCTTGAAGATCTATTCCAAGAATAAAATTTTTCTGAACTTAAAATAAATTAAAAAAGTAAAGATTATTTACTACAAATAAAATAATTTAAACAAAAATTATTAAAAACAAGTAAATTTAATAAAAATTTTTAAGATTAAATTGAAATTCAAACAAGAATGTTAATTTTACAGATAGTGAAAATAGTAGTATAATATTACATTGCTGAAACTGCCCAATTTTTATAAACATTACTACTTAATTGCCACTTAATAGTTACTTAATAGTCAAATAATAG